TGAAAAAAAAAAAATATATATATATATATATTATATGTAATCCTATAAATAAAATATGTATCCCTATAAATGAAAGAATATCTCTAATGCATAAAAATTCAAGTTAAAAACTGAAAAAGCATATCAGATAAATAAAAAAGAAACCAAGACGCAACGTAACGTCCAATAATTATTTTATCATATATATATATATATATAATATTGTCGACAATTCTACAATAATTGTACACCGGATTATAATAACGTAATTTTGATGTTCGGTTATTATTTAATCTATGCAAATACGTATATAAAAGAATAAACATGATCTTGATTTATCGTAGCAAATTTTAAAGCAAATTTGTTTGATTTCAAATTTTTCGATCTAAAATCTTAATAAATAAATATATGTAAAATAGGTTTAATATTTTAGATATATATGTATAACACGAAATGCATACATTGTTTTCAAACTTTCCAACAATTTCGATGGAAAAAAAGAGAAAAGGGAGACAAAAGAAAAGATTCAAAGGTAAAAAGAATTAGCTTGCGAATATAAACATACGTGACAAACAGGTTTATTTCCTTCGTTTGCTGGCCACCGAATTTACCGCGAAATCGATTCGGAGAAGTGTGACGTCTCGCGTGTACATCTCAAAAGACAGATGTCGAACGAAACGCCGTGATATTTTTATTCGCAATTCCAGTTTTGCTTGCGCAAGTATTTTCTCGCTCGTAGCAGAAGTTCGCGACTTGTCGATTATCTCGTCACACTCGGGGAGATCGTAAAAATAATTAATAGCCGACGTTGTAACAACTGATAATCACTTTGCTTAATAGCAATCTGTTATTCATGCGAATGACTGGTTTCGTCGACACACGAGCCTGCGGGAAAGAACGATTTATTATTCATTGAGTTGTGCACAAAACTCGTACGTTCGATTGATAGTCAAATCGAAAGTTGAAAATTTATTTGTTCGAAAATTAACGTTTCTCATATGGACGTGTGTGTCGCAGAAATATATTTCCACGTACATAAACGAGCATTTAATTTTCAAATGAACATGGTACAAAGTATTTTTTAAATCTAAAAACAAACGCTCGATTCACGATAAAAAATACATGAAGTAGGTTTTATTTTAGATTAGCAAGCTTGGTTAAAATGCTGATAAAACGCGGCGCGCAGCACATTTCTATTTCTGGTGAATCCGCAACGTGATTAAGTTAGCGGTAATCCGCAACTATTCGGTTAGATATTATTCTTTAATCTAATTTATTCTTTTATGTAATTAAAGTATATTTTTTACAAGTAGTATTTTAATAATTTTTAAATTGTTTCTGTTTCATGTTTGCCTAGCTGATATTAAATAATTAATTAAGTCATTAGAATTCCTCTCTCCTTATCGATTCTGATTATGGATTCAATATTTTTCGCGGTTTTTATTTATTACTTATTTTTATTTAATATTATGGTACGTTTTACATTACATAATGCACCTTATAAATACGAATCAATGTCTTTAAAGTCTCTGCGATAAGAAGGCATTTTATCCTCAAACGATACTGTGTATTTCATGAATTATTAATGATCGCCGATGATAGGTCATGTATCCTAATTTTTGTACGTTGATGCGTACAGGCGAAGTTTCGAACGTCGAAAAAAATCGCACCTCATTCTCCACGACGGTGTATTTGTCATGCATATTAATGACGGCTGATGGACAAGCGGCGACTGAATCGCCCGACAATCTAATTTTCGCGCGTTAAGGCGAGAGAAATTTGTAGCGTTCGCTTAAATCGTTCCTCATACAATTTATAAATGGGTTTATAATATCCGCCAATAAATTATTTAACGAATTTATCGGTATTATTATCCTTCAACAAAAACATGAGAAAGTTTAATTACGCAATTATTTAATATTACACTGAAACATTTGTGATTGAAAATGACCGGAAGGTTCTGATTATATCAATCAAAATTTTCATTCTCTCAACTGCAATTATAATAGATTCAACCAGAAAATTCTGATTTGTCCAATTTCAATCAGAATTGCAATTAATACAACCAGACTTTTTCTAATGCATCAATTGAAATATAAAGAAATAATAAAATGGGTAAACGTTAAGTTTAGAACGGAAGTAATTAACAAAAAAATGAATTTGAAACGTGAATAACAAACATTTAATATTGACTTCGAAATTATTCAATATCGTATCTCTTATGAGGCAGCTACGTGCTAAAGGGTTAAAGACACGATTGAATAAGTGCGTCTAATTCCCCGAAACGTTTTTGTAAACCAACACGCATAATTGTGCTCCATTACGGCCGCGAGGGCAATTGACACCTATATCGCGATTGAAAAGGGATGCAGCTTCGTGGAGCCGGTCATCTCGTCGCGGTCGAACGAGAATGGCGCAAGGTCTCTCTCTGTACAAGGATTCAGGGATTCCTGAAAATTATTAACGACACCGCGCGGAGTTACGGCAAGCGTGTCATTCCTTGGACGGAACAGTGGTTCTCATCGCGTGCGCATCGTTGCGAGTAATTCTTGGCCGTCAGTAAATCGGCGATTTGTGGTGGACGGTGACGGGATTTGCAAGTATAATGAAAAGTGCTGGCTTAACGTTAAAGGCATTGTGCTCTCGCGATGCGCGGGGGAAATAACAAGAAGATCGTATAGGGGCGCGCGAGTATGTGTGCCCGGAGTTAGCAAGGGATGGAGAGTGAAAGGACGAAGCGAGAGAAAAATTCGCGTGGGCTTAAGGCGGTAGAGGGGAGGAAGGAAAAAAGAGTAAGTAAGTAAGTACCGAGAATAAATTAAACTAATTGAGTAAATTAGCCAGCTGTTCACGCAACGATGGTATAGGGACACGCTCTCCTCGGTAAGAAGTCATCGTCGTCACGCAGAAAACGTGTATCCGTACGTCCTTTTGAATAAACATGTAATGCAAGTTATATCTACGAAGAATAGAAAAATTGAATGCATAAATCAAATTTGATATTATCACTAATGAATGTCTAACATGATATCGAAATTGTAGATTACTTGATAGATTTAAACATTTTATGTTAAATTGATTTGTTAAATACATTTTATTGAATATTACACTGAGAAAAATGTCTGATTGAAAATTAATAAAGTAGAAAATTCTGATTATATCAATCAGAATTTTGGTTATCGCAATTAGAAGTATATTATAATAGATTCAACTAGAAAATTCTGATTTGTGTATCTTCAACTAGAATTCCAATTAATGTAATCAGACACTTTTCATCCAGTGTTGAATTCCAGATGATATTTCTTCGAAGACTGTGGAATGAACTCTGAATGTTGTATGCAATTTATAATATTCCAAACAATAGTGTATAATATATTTCAATCTGACATAACAAGCTATTATGTGATCAATTTATTAAAGAAGAGTTGCAAAATTCACATTAATTTTTTTAGTTATTTTGAAAGATTACATCATAAACTTATAAAACATAATAATATAAATTTATTTACATATAATGATCATGTTCTATATGATTATTTCATTTTTTTATACAGCTTTCGAGTTTTCATATAATAATAATTATACGTATGCAAAAAAAAATAAAATATCTTGTAGAACGAAGCAGTAATCAGATGTAATAAAAATGGATAAGAAATGATCAATAATTTAATGTTAAATATTTAAATATTCAAATGTATTCGGATCGTATGATTAGCGTTCAAACAGAAAAAATATTATTAAAGTTTAATAGCGGATGATATCCGTGCATTGATTAATTGCGAATGCTTTTAATGATCAATTTACAATATTATTCAAATATAATAATGTCGAATATCAAGAAGGTTATTTCTTGTATTCGATATACACTATTGATAGATATCTATCGTAATTCATTTCATGCAATAACATTGCTGACGAGTTCTTCTTTTTATAAATTTAATAATTAATGAATAATTATGTTGATTATAAATATTTAACATTTACTGACGTCAACGTTTAGAATTAGATTGTTGATATACAAAGCGTAATAACATCAGATTATAGTTTTACTATAAATAGTTATCTATATATTCATACGTACATAATTTTTTCCGTGACGTAAATGTTTCATAAATATTCCGATGGATAATTAAATTCAAGATCAGAAATTTTTCAGTAACAATGAGCGCAGTAATCGTTTAAATGTTCCAATAGATCAATCGCGTGTCCAATAATTTTTTAGTGATAACGGGCATTTTGAAAAGGGTTGAGCAAATAATTAAAGACTCATGATCGGCGATTTGTATATTTGTTGCTCGAAGGGTATCACATTTCGCCATACGGGTAGGCAAATTACAGGTGGGGATACGTGACCGCGTGGAGAACTTAAATAATTCTTAAGTAATTCTTCGCGCGCGCTCGCGGGCTTCAAAATTATTATCCAAACGAAATGTCAGAGGATACGGGATAATTGTTGTTGCACAAGAGATGTGCGATATTTTCGCTTTCGCGCCAAAGAAGACGCCTAACCACATTATTACCGCCAATTATTGCCTCATTTTTCCAAACAGACAAACTTTGACGTACGCAGCTGCTTATTATTCAAATGATTTCGAAGTTACGCCATAATATGTCAATATATATATATAATTAGAGATAACTAATCAATTTTAATTTGACACGCTCTTATTTTTATTTAATGATTCATTAGGCATTGGTTTATCCGTTCATATAAATGTACGATTTAATAGATCTTAACATTTTTTACGTTTGAATAAACTTATAAGACGTTTTTATTTTTAAATACTTTTTAATTATTCCTAAAACTGTATGAAATAGATTCTCACGTCATGCATTTGGAAAATTAATTGAAAAAATTAAAGCTTGCAAAGAAAAAAAGTGTCTCATTATATTATATATTAGAGAGATAAATTTTATTACTTGCATTTAATCACTGTATCAGAAATGAGTCTATAATTTATCTATGCCATCTTATTTAATATTTCGTTTTACGCAAAACAACGTTAAGAGATTCCACTGACCTGTATCCGTGCCTCCGTCAGCCCGATCTTCATGGCGAGCTCCTCCCTAAAAACAAAAAGGAAGGTAATCATTAACACAAGAAAAAGGAACCAAGGCCGTATGTAGCCGCGGGCCTATTTGCGCGTGCGAATTATCCGATTCTGTTATTGCGATAAACTCGAGTTAACGGAGTGTGAGCTTCGGCGTCAGTTCAGAAATTATTATCCAACGATATTACGAGTCCCGAACAGTATCTACTATAAGCACTAATAAAATTATAATATTTGCCAATTTTAATGATTTTCTAAATATGATACATACACAATATGTGCATTTAATAATTATACATCTCTTTAATAATTAATTATTTTATTGAAGAATCATTGCGTTGTTTCATAATGGATGGATGTAACAACTCGACTTGAACTTATTCACGTTCAATCTTAAAAAAGTTCTCATTATGTTATTTATTATTGTATTAGATAGATATCATTAATCTTCTTAGAGATAATAATTTTACATAAAATTATCTTTAATTGTTTAATTGCTTTATTGTCGTTATTATTTCTGAATAATAATCTGTTACTTTGTACTGAACTATTATTGCATACGCTCTCAAGAAGTTAAAGATAAACTTCACAATACATTAATGAATCTTTTTGTTACTCTTTTCTTTCTTACTTTACGTAATCAAATTTATATCTAAACGTTTGGGCAGTTAACGAAGTAAATGCACATAATTGCAACTGTAATTATTATCTCCCTTGACGCGATTTATTATTATACTTAAGAATACGTAATTCAAAAAAATCATTTAGTTGTCTTTTAATAACGTTGAGGAATAGCGGTTACAATATGACCTCGTATCATATCCGTGAGAAAATCGCAGAAACCGTTCTACGAAATAGTCAGTCTGTCTCGTAAAAACGCGCGCATTCATTATCTTAATTAGTTTTGCATCCGAAGCAGATTAGCCGACATAACGACGCACGATGGGGATTAATTGCATTATGTATCTCGTGGCATTATGTGTGATTTTCCGTTGGATTGCTACTTGCACGAGCCGTTGTGACGAAAGCTATTAATATCTATTACGAGACGATCAGGATCTGTGGCGACCGCGCCGTCTTGGCTCCGGCAAGCAGATAGAATCTCATTTTATATAGGTGACTGCGCTCCTCAACGGCGTATTACGAATACGATTATCCGTAACTAATTGATCGGTCCAACGTAGCGGTAATGACGAATAATTATTAGCTCGTGATATTTTACATAACGTCGATCATGTCATACGCTGTACCAGTCGTTTCCTTTCCGCTCGATTGAATTTCGCATCCTTCGCTCGCGGGCGCATATAACACGAATAGTCTGCGTATAGTCTCATGTATATTACGACACTTTTCTGCAAACGCATACGACGCTTGCTTCGCGTAAAATTAGCTCCTAAAATTCGCTCCCCTAGCCCTATTGTCTAGAAATCTGAATCGCACAAACGCCGGAGGTTACTGATTAAGAGAGAAACGCACAGAAAAATAATAATTCTATTCAACAATAAAAAATCCAAAAAAATCAGGGCGAATGAAAGCGTGGTAGTTAATACGCAATTTTAAATCTTTATTCCAGAAAAGAGAATCTTTATTCCAAAAAATAGTACGTTTCAGTTCACTTTGGAACCATCCTCAGCAATACAATTTCAAAATATCAATCTCTTCATGTCCAAAAAAAAAACACCATCAAATTAACAGATTTGATGTTATAATTCCAAGACATAGAAGGAATTCGTCTCGACATTGGATCAAAACCAATTAAAATTTATAATCACTAAAGAGTATCAAGTTAAAAAACGCATGTTGATCGCAGTTCGAACGAAACATGACTAATACATTTAATATAACTGAGACATAATATATAATTGAGATTATATTAAAAGTATTAGTCATGTTTCGTTCGAGCTTAATCTGATGGTGATTTTTTTCTTGGGTATGAAGGGATTGATATTTTGAAATTGTATTACTGAGAATGGTTCCAAAGTAAACTGAAATATTACTATTTTTACATACTATTTTTTGGAATAAAGATTCTATTTTCTGGAATAAAGATTTAAGATTGCATATTAACTACCACGCTGACTCTCATTCGCCCTGATTTTTTTGGATTTTTTGTTGTTGAATTTGGGAGAGTCCGTAAGAAGATTACATTATTACTATTTGGAATAATTCTATCATTAAGAAAAGTAAATTACTCAATTTCTTTTCTTTCTTTTAATTATATTATTTTTATCAAAGAATATTTTCTTGATAATAACGTTAAAATATTACAAAAAAATTTCTAAAAAATTCATTATTACTAAAAAGGAAAATTTATTTTCTTTTGAAAATTATTATAAAAATTGTTCGAAGAAACGACTTTATATAATGAGCAAATTGAATTTATTTTAATTTAATAATCATGATTGCGTGAAGTATTAAACTCACTATATCTAGGACTCAGAATATATCTTGAATAAATGCTTGTGATGAATTTATGATAGATTTGCGGATATAAGGTAAATGTCTAGTTTTATTAAATAGTTAGTGAACATAACCCAATTCGTTGGATAAAGTGTACAAAATTTTAAATATTAAGCTTTTAATGATACGTACGACTCTAGATAAATTTGTTTATAAAAATTAAAATTTAAAACGAGTTTAGTTAGAGTTGAACATATCATTAAAAATTTAATATTTGAAATGTTTTATGCAACAATTGGTTTATGTCCACCTAACTTGTACACTTATCTTATGAACTTTTGAAATACTTGAAACAAGTATTTCAAAGTATTATTATTTGCATGCAGCAAGTATTTTTCTGTGTATAGAAAATATTATTTATAACTATAACTTGTAATCTAAAATCATGATAATATAGCTACTTATTACGAGTGCATGGACATGCATTAGGAATTACGAAGCGTTACGCTGTGAGCATGAAGTGACGAAGACTTTCTGTTTTTGTTCAAAAGGATGCGTATGTTACAAATGTACCCCATAATTATAATACATTCGTTAAGAGTGTAGATTAGATGTAGATTGTAAGAAAAGTAGTACAACTACGTTCAAGGAAACAGAGGAAATTAATAGTCATCGACTTTAATAATTAAATTCCTTTCGGTTGATTTACGTTGGTTAGGCAATTGCTCTCGTAGGATGTTTCCAGTAAAGATAATAACCCGTATAAATCGCCACTTGCATGATTTCACCGGAAATTATGCGAACGCATTCTCAATTTTTTTCAACTGAGAACGAGGCAAATTGAAGGCGCGAAGGAATTATTATGAAGCAGGCGTGAATCATGACGGGTGTCGATAATTCATCTCGCACGTTGAGAATTCATTCATTCCGGAAATATTAGCGATTTTCGCCGTTGTTGCGTTAAAGGAACCGAATGGTGGCGATCATGCAATCGAGTATATCCGGCGGCGGGTAGAAAAAGAAAGAAGAAGGAAAGAATGAATCGGTCAGTGAGACACCCCGTCGGGCGTCTCTCATTTTGCAGGCAAATTGCCCAGATGTTCCACGAAATCGCGAGGAAATCTTGGTGATTATGCCGCGCACAGAAGCTCTTGCGTCCGATCGTCTTGGATCTCGTGTTTAGGTGCATTTCAACCTTCAGACGGTAGCTTCCGAAATTACAGGGATTTCAGGACGAGTCCGAAGATTGTGGCCGTGGTCCACGGATTCGTCTGATTCACGTCGCGTCAATTTTATCATCGTTCGCTCGGATGCTCGCTCAATCTGATGGCTGCATCCGAACCGAAATCCTTCCGTTCTTCCGATTGATCCCACGAGAAACATCTTTTCAATCTAAATCGCGTTTTTAATTTTATATTAATATTTTTACTGTGAAAACTGTGTCATAATATGTATAATAATTAATAATTATCATTTCTTTACTTTTGTTGTATTCAAATTGAGTTTGGTTGTAAATAAATCGTTGCTAAATAGTTTTGGAAAATTAAACCATTGGTGCCGCGAATATCACTGGACACTGTTAAATCTTAAAAGAATAATAATAATAATAATATATATTTCTTGAATTAAATAATAGTTTTTTAGCTTCTATGTGCGTCAAAGTGTAAATCAATTTATTTCTGTGGTTAACAACATTCATATTAACATATATGCATTTACATTAGTAAATAATAAACTAAATTTGAGTCAAGTTTAATACATTTTCTTAAATCAAATTCTTTAACTTCATTATATTAATAAAATTAATGACATATTAAGTCTATTTTTTTTAGCTGAATTTTTTCCATGGTTTATCTTTTTTACTTTTCTCTCCACGCAAGAGAAAAAAAAAAGAGAAAAGATAAGCAAGAAATTGAAAGTGCACAAGAAATTCAACTAAAAACAGACCTATTGAGTAAGAGACCTAAAAGCAATGATAACTACAGAAATAATTAGAAATTGGATATAGTTTAATTATAAATATAACAGTGGAGAATTAACAACTTCCTTTAATTCGCCAAATTGAGTTTATCAAAAGTTTATTCGATGAAGGTAATCATTACCAAAATAATGGAACAATTTATCCATTGATTAATCATCTAAAACGATCCTCATCGTATATCGACCGGTAATTGCAAAACGTATTCACGTCATCAAATCATTTTTGATGGCCCGCGTACCGACTTATGGAGGAAACGTAACTAGAAGACGCGAGTTCGTATACTGCTGCAGTACTCTCTGATTACCCGTTGTCGTGCGCTAATGACTACTCTGGTGAACATAGTTGCAGACGGTAATTCGTACCTGCTACCAGGCGGCTCGGCTTCGTTTTCAATGAAACGCCGAGTATGAAAGCGCGCACCTATCAGCTGCTTCTCACGAAAAACAGGCTTACGCTGTGAACGATAAAATTACGTATAGTACGTGATTTCTCTTTCTCTCTCTCTCTCTCTCTGCCCGTTACATCTGATTTTATGACTCACAAATACGAATGAATCAAGACTATAGCATATATTCTACTAGTCACAAATTAGATACTTGACAATGTCGGAAACTTTCTATACAGATATTTTAAGT